CCGGACAAATGACCAACAGAAAGCTTAACTATTGCTACCTTCCGTGGGCTAGTTGTTTTTTATAAATACATCTTACATATACCGAAAAAAGACGTGACCCACATCACGTCTGACTCCGAAGCGGTGAAAATCGACTCCCCCATACGTTGAAAACGACTCCCCCATACTTTTTTGCGATTCCCCCGCGTTACCCGTTGTATACGGTGTTATCAGTCACAAGTATAGAGTAGTTTAAAATAATGGAAGAAAAAGTTGGGGTCACTGATGTTAATTTTGAAATAATGGTCAGAACGTGTAATGTTCAGGCGAAAAACGGTGCAAATTTTATCTAGACTTCTTTAACATCTTATCTTCTTTTATCGGCAAAGTTTGTTGAGGGAAGTTGTAAAGTTTGTTCTAAAAATATAAATTGAGACCTTTATTAAATATTCCTAGCATATCAGAACGGAAAATGTTCTACGAGTAAAAGTATGTGATAATAAATGTGCAGATTTGCTGAATTTTCTGCTAAATATTCTTCCACCACAAGAAATAGTCCCTCATAAATCTTGCTTCTTTGTGGATTTTTGAGTATTTTTTTTCCATTGATAAAAATATACATTGTTGAATTAAATATGTTGTAAAAATTGAATTATAATATTATAATAAATAGTTTTGAAATAAGAGGCTCTGCACGAACTTTGCTAAAAAGCTAACGAGTGACTTACCTGAATTTTTATTTATTGAAGGTAAATAAGATAAGGTTTTCTAGAGGTAAGGGATTATGGAAAGAAGTAAGAAAGAATTACGCACGCTATATCTCGATTTCTGCCTACATTTTACAACCATTTGATTCAGAATTGATGATAATTTGGCCAAAAAATCTTGTTTAACAGTTCAATTGCAATTGATTAATTGTTTTAACACCAGTGCTAAATAGTAACATACCCCTAATTCCAGTTCTTTAAGGGGAAAAGATTGATTGATTGATTTTATATTGTTTAACGCCGAGTCAGCAATTTTTCAGCCATATTTCGGCGTAAGGGGAAAAGACGATATTTTCCACTGATTTCGGGCTATAAAGCATAACTATATTCTGAAATAGTCTTGGATCTGAATATATGTTTCTTAAATCTTTTCTTCTGTTTTATACATATGAAATTAAACATATATTTTAGTAAAATACAATGATCAGTTGTTATGCACTTCATAATTGCTGAAAAATAAGCAATTTTGTCGGTTTTTTGTTTATGAACATATGCCCCACTCCACCATGAAACACAAAAAGCTTTCGAATGAATTTGTGCAATGACAGTCCAAATTACTCGCAAAAAAGAATTTTTGTTTCACGGGAGGGGGATGTTTTAAAAATATTATCCGTTTTCCGTTGATTTCTGCAGTGAATATTTTTAATGAGTAATCTCTCGTTGTTTTTGCAAATAAGAAATGTATTATGAAATCCATATAAATTTCAATATATACATTAAAAATAATTCGAATATGTATCTTTTGAAAATTGACTTGGAGGTAGGCAGGAGAACAATACCATCATCGTTCGCAGTTCTTTCATAGGTAACTGGGCTATCAAAATACTTACTGCATAAATAAAAAAAATTAATTGCTGTGAATTATTTAAAAAAAAAACACATCTATTTATTATTTGTGAGCTACAAAACGTACGCAAAATTAAAATATTTGAGTTAACTGTGTACAAGCTATGTATGCAAATGAGGGTCGACAGTGGCCAACTCTCTGACCAAAAATTGTCATATTGGTCGGCTAATTTTTATTCACAAATTATATTCAACCTTTTATCATTAAACTGACAATTTTATCAGAAAAACATTAAAATTCTTTCGTGTGATATGAAACTAAGATACTTGTATAAAAACATATGTCTAAAAGGAGATCTGTTTTATGTATATCTAGACAGATATACATAAAAGAAATAAAACAACAGCGTCTAGGATTACTTAGGTAATAAAATTCATATCAAGGCTAATTAAGGAGAAAATCCACTTAAATTCTCTGTCTGAAATAATATTATGTCGTAAAATTTCAGACAGAGAATTTTAGTAAATCTTTTTACGTTGTCTTCAAAGAAATCGTGTGTACATGTACAATCAGAATGTCTTCATTAAAATAATTTGGCAAATGACCAATGACAAGGTAAATAAATTAAATTTACGAGTTCCATTTTTATTGAAAAAAGCAGCTGTAAATGATATCGAAAAGCATGGACTTTAATTCATTGTGGGGAATGGTTCTTTATATGAAGTTGAAAAGTCTATAAGCTGTTGATTTTGAATAAAATGTTATGATACTTTCACATTATCTTAATTACATAATGCCATTGTGACCTCTTTTTTACTTTTACTTTCTGATCTGACACTAAATTAAGGCCTCCCGGAGCAAAACATGGACTTTACCATTATAATCATATGGGGGGGGGGGGGGAGTTATAATTAAGTGAACTTAGTGCTTACAGTACCTCTTGTTTTCTTACAGTGTTTCTTGAGAAACTAATATTTAATTAATAGATTTTTCCCGTATAATGAAATGTAGAAAAAAAACATGCTTCATAGTATTTAGATTCTAACTATGGACCTACTCTACCCGAGAGCTTGATTTAAACAGTTTATAACTTACACTACCTTTGAAAGCTTCCACGTACATAAGTATATGAACGTTTCATTTTTTTTCTTGCCACTTGATTTTAAAGAAGATTTTTTATTCTTACCCTGGCCTATTTAAGTCTCTTCCTGATTATCTTCCCCTTATTTATAAGGGGTGATATTTTTTAACAATTAAAACACTCTTCACTCAAGGATGCTTTTGGGATATGTCATTTTTAAAACGTGCATGAAATCAAATTTCCGTGACATTCTAGTGTATATGAAGCAGAAGAGTTAATAAAAGAAGTCTCTGTCGAGACTGTAGCTCTACTGGTTTATACTTAAAACAAAGGAAAAGCAGCAGTTGCCACTTGAAACTTTAAAAACAGCAATAAAAAGAAAAATGATCCTTGCCACTCATCAAAGCAAAAACCGATGTAGAGAATTATGTATCTTAGTGTAGTCTACTTGTGTGTCAAGTTATATTGAAAACTGGCCAAAAATGTTGGAGGAGTAGCATTTTGAAAGAATTTCACAGAAATTTCTATCTTTAGTAACCATAGCAACACCGTTCATCGAAATCAAAACCGATGCACAGAATTATGTATCTTAGTGTAGTCTACTTGTATGCCAAGATATATTGAAATAGAACCAAAACTGTAGGAGGAGTAGCATTTTGAAGAATTTCAAAGAAATTTCTATTTTTAGTAACCCTGGCAACATTGTTCATCAAAATCAAAAACTGATGCATAGAATTATCTATCTTAGTGTAGTCTACTTGTGTGCCAAGTTATATTGAAATCGGACCAAAACTGTAGGAGAAGTAGCATTTTGAAAGAATTTCAGAGAAATTTCTATTTTTAGTAACCTCGGCAAGACCGTTCATCAAAATCAAAAACCGATGCAGAGAATTATGTATCTTAGTGTAGTCTTCTTGTGTGCCAAGTTAAAATTATATTGAAATAGAACCAAAACAGTAGGAAGAGTAGCATTTTGAAAGAATTTCTAAAAAAAAAAATCTATCTTTAGTAACCATGGCAACACCGTTAATCGAAATCAAAAACCGATGCACAGAATTATGTATCTTAGTGTAGTTTACTTGTGTGCCAAGTTATATTGAAATAGAATCAAAACTGTAGGAGGAGTAGCATTTTGAAAGAATTTCACAGAAATTTTTATTTTTAGTAACTTTGGCAACACCAATCATCAAAATCAAAAACCGATGCACAAAATTACACTGTATGTATCTTAGTGTAGTCTACTTGTGTGCTAAGTTATATTGAAATCGGACCGAATCTGTAGGAGGAGTAGCATTTTGAAAAATTGTTTACAGACAGAAAGACGGACAGACGCCGGACGCATTACTATTGCATAAGCTCTACTGGTCTCTGACCAATAGAGCTAAAAAAAAAATTAAAATTATCACTGCGCACCGAAAGTAAATGTTACAAGTATAGCTTGACCCAAGCACCTATGTTCTTAAACATGTTAAAATTATGAAGTTTAAAATTTGAAAAAGTATATAGACGGACGGCCAGCAAAACAAACGAACAACAAGTGATCAAGAAAGCTCACTTTAGCCTACAGCTCAGATGAACTAATCTGATAATTACTTATTATTAAATCTTTATTAAAATAACAAGAATTTCAAAGAGATTCATCGTTGCATATGAGACTGCATGTCCTCCAGTATATATATAGTTAAAAAAATTGTGCTATTAATACATCAAAAAAGACTATTAGGATACTATGCATTAACAAGATGTTTTGGTATTCCAGATGCTTCATTGAGAGCATCTGATTCCCCTATATTTTTATACACGTCAGATTGCTAAATGTTTCAACAAATTATCAAAGAACTGATATAAGCTTATCTTTTAGGGTCACAGCTGTTTTATGTATCTAAATTAAATTTCATATCACACAAAAGAATGTTAATGTTTTCCGCTTTTGAAATTTGTCTGTGTTATAATTGTACATGTACATGATATCATATAAATTCCAGTTTTAATTGTTAATTGTAATTTGTCAATTTACAAATAAAACAAATTTTACAACATGGCATACAATATTCTTAATTCAAAATTATCGGCTGCTGTAAACTGTACTTCGGAAATTTATGAATGGTAGATTGAGAAAACATGTTTTCTATCGAAAATGACAAAAAAAGTCTAAATCTCTTAATATGAGATATTCATAATTTATGAACATATTTATATTCAAAGAAAAAAGATCTAAAATACAAACTGATATAGATTAGAAACAAAAGATTCGACAGAAGAAAGTAATTCACATATACATGTACATACATATACAAAGTTAGAACGTATTACTACTTTTTAAAACTACTCTTCGTACTTACTGCATGCAATCCTTGGCGTATCTGAAAATCCCACTTATACTTACAAAGTATGCTTAACAGGATAATTTAAGTTACCTGACCTCACTTGTCATTTTTTTCAATTTGAGATCTGAAATAAACATGCAGGAAATCATGCAGCTCACAGAAGATTCTTCGTCGATTCGATAAACAAAAAGGGGGTCAAGGGTATATTTTTCTGTTGAAATTCGAATCCCCTTTCCGTTGTTATTTATACGCGTAACTCTTATTAGTCGGTGTGTTTACGTTCGAAGTCATTCATTTCTAATTGCTGAAGAAGCCAGATCACTCTGTCGTCTGTTGAAGGTGAGTTTGCATCGTTACTTTTGTTTAAATTTAACTGCTATGGACTGCATGGACTTTTTAAACAAAAAAATTTTAATGCCTTTATTCAATAGAAAGAAACCGTCTTTTTTAAAATGACACAAAATGAATATACCATGCAGGAGTGTAAGCAGAAAGGAAGTCAGGGGTGACGCCAGCTGATTACGCATTAGATATAAGAAGCTACATATACTTTAGATTCTAAAACTTCAGTAGGAAAAGTTATTTTTGCAAACCATACATTTTAACTTTTTGCTGTTGTAAGGATTAACAATAAATACTGGATCAACTACGAATATTTAAGGTTCATATGATAATCAAGTCCTCAGAAATAGCTCCAGCTTTGCATGATTATAGATGCATAAAGCTTTATATTTATACCCTTTTCCCGATAATGTACTTCTTTTCAAAGACGGGAAGGGATTTGTATTAAATTTTTCTGCAAAGCTACAAAATGCAGTCAGCTCGCAGCTGCGTGATAGAAATAAACAGTAATCTTTATGCATACAAATATGAAATGAATATTACTGTACTCGAAATTCTTAATATCAATTCTCTGTAATTATCAAAATTGGTTGGCCACGCATAGAAAAACATTTTGATTTTTTAATAATAATTTTAAACAGCTATGTCATTAATTGTAAAATCTAAAGTGGGTTTATGAAATAGACCCTTGGTTGCCATAGAAACGGGGTGCAAAATTCTCAATTTCGTTAATTTTGAAGAAAGTGCACTTATCAAGAAAAACTGTGTCCAGAAATGAAAAGGAATAACTTAATATGTTTTCATTATTTAAATTTAATCCTACAGATTAAGGTAATTATATTTGTAGTTTTAATTTAATCTCTTAATAGTAAATGGCCATTTTACATATTATAACATATCAGATACGTGATTGGTTTAGTGGAGTTTTTGGAGGCTTAAAACAAAAAAGGCACACTGATTACAAATTTAGTAATAATTAATTATGAAAGGCTGATATTTGATTATATCAAAATATGTAAAATATTGGTGGGAGACTCAAAGATGGAAAAGGAATTCAAAGGTAAAGATTACTTTTTTCTACATTTTGAAGCATTTTTTGCTTCCTAATTACTTCCCTTGAACTACTCTCTAACGTTTGGAGGTACAATGTGTATTTAGTAAACAGCAATGAACATTTTCTGGCGAAAAATCTCTTCAAAGTTTTACAGTCTGGAAGAAGAAAAGAAGGCTAGACATCCTAAACAATGAAGACAGAAGGTAAATTTATGTATATACTGAGCATTACAAAAATATCAAGATTAACAAATGCATATTTTCTTAATTTTAGTTGCCTTACAATACACGGTAGTGGTCAGTGGTCCTTATCAAATCAAGCGAACTATACCTTTTGACAGTTTGACTTTCTGACCAATGAATTAATTATTTTTATTAATAAAAATGAATTTTAAGCATATAAACATCACTTGCTGATACAGCTGAACTCCCCTCCCCCCCGAAATATAAATGTCTATAGATAGATTGTATAAAATCTGTGCCATTCAGTAGGTTTACTTTTTATGATGTGCTGAGAGAGACTTTTAACTGTTTAAGTGAACATTATTTAACTTTATAATATAAATTTCCACTTCTGTCAGTTTTCATTCATTGTTTATCCTATTATTTCAATTCTTTATTGGCATTTAGGCACATGTTTTACAGAATTGTGTTGTTAAAATATTTAACTAGAGCAAGTTTGTTTCTGTAAAAAAAAAAGTGCATCAAACGTTTATAATGTGTGAGCACAAGCATAAAGTAGCTAAGTTTTTTAAATAGTATTCTATATATCAGCAAAATATGGTCATGTGATGTTCATAAGCAGAAAATAGGAAAACAGCATGTTTGTTTTGATGTCATTGTTTTATTTTAATAGCTTCTATCTTTTAAACTTTAAATTTATTATATATATCCAAAACTGTACTATATGTATTGACAAAATAGATCTTGGTTAAGAATGCACTGGAAATATTGAGTTATTTTTGTTTATATAGACTCTTTCATTCGTCTGTGAAGTACCGGTACTGTATAATCTATAGTTCGATCAATTTTGTGTGAATAATAATAATCTTTTCAAATAGCAAACAGTAAAAAATATATATATTCACTTGTACATATGTATTAGTGTTAAAACAAAATTTAACTAGAGGTACTGTGAGCAATGAGCTCACTAAATGATACCCCCTGCCTCCCATATGGTTATAACTGATGACAAATCCATGTTTTACTGTGGCTGGGAAACCCAAAATATGTGTCAAATCAAAAAGTAAAATAGGAGGTGCACAATGGCAATATGTAATAAAGAATCTGTGAAAGGTTCATTAAATTTCACTTATTGCAGTGGTATAAGAGGAGTTGCGGATAATAAGAGATGAGTACCCTAAAGCGTAACAGACAGACGGACGTACAGACAGATGGACGTACAGCTAGACGGACATACCGATTACAGTATACCCTACCACTTTTCAAGCGGAGGGTATAATAAAACTATATACATGTACTTGTAGAATATTCACCTCTGATTTATAATGATATTTGTTTTATACACACTGACCATGTCTTATAATATTCTAAACAAATTATTTGATACTCAGGCAAATATTCACTACTGGTAAGATGATCACACACATGAACATGTCTGTGTATGAATGAAATGAATTTTCCTTTTGATCATGTTCCTAGGAAAATAATTATTTTCATCATTTTTTCATCAAAGGATTTACCATATAAGATGAATAAAGAAAAAGTAAGACCAGTAAACCAAAACAGGACCAAATAGGCCATGACTGAAGTTCAAGTGCATTCTGCAAGAAAGTGGACAGCCTAGATTTTGTTCTTTTCAAGGTAACCATTCTTAAGATATGAAAGTAAATTAAGGACAGATGATACAAACAAAAAATGGATGCCTGGATTGGTATATATTTTTTGGCATAATTTAATTGCAAATTAATGATGCTATTAATAAATTTCTAGAATTATTAAAAAATTGTAAACCTTCTGTGATGTTCAAAAGTCTGCCCTCTTGAAACTATCCTTATTAATCTATACAGATATTTTTCACTTCAAATTCCATTTTTATGCAAATATGAATTAAAAATTAAAAAGTACTTGAAGAAAGTTATTAATTTTACTGATTAAACATGACCCCAGTTGTTATTTTCAAATTCTTTGACAAAAGTTTGTTTGTATCATCTGTCCTTAAATTGTTAAAAAATATTTCAATTTTATTTCTAAATTTAAATCTTGCTTATTTCTTTTTTTTTTCAAACAAAATTTAATACCTGTCCAGTAACAGAAGAATTATTACGCTAGAATAAAGAAAACAACTTTCTAAAGGATTACATACACATTTAATTAGCTTGAAATCAGTGTATATTGGAAAGTACAGGAATTATTTACATTGCAGGTTGAGAAGGGATGCCATATTTTAGGTTTGAAACCAGGCAAGTGAAAGCTGAATTCCAACCTACTTCAACATACTTATACCCACTGTCTTCAAGATATCAGTGTTTGAGATGTCAAAGTTCAAATATAATAGGAACATGCTTATCATATTATGTGATGGCATCCTCAAATCTTATGCTGTATAACAATATGTTTTAGAACTTATCAAGCTTTATTCTGTACCTTGCCAAAAAAACTCAACTCAGCATAATTCTCATTAACTAATTATCAGTGTTACTTGTGTATGTCAATGTAGGTCATTACTGGTACATGCCTGACCAAGAAAAACTCTAAAATTGAAAAATCAGAGACAAGATTTTCAGAGCAGCAGAAACAGTAGAATTTGTCATGTAAATCTAATGATATGTACTGTAGTTGAGAATACATGTACTCTAAATGTTGCATATATAAAAAATAAAAAAGTGAAAAGTTCTCTTGTTTTCAGAATTTATATTTACATGTGAATAAAAAAGAAAAGGAGATTGATATAGTTGGTGTGATGAGATGTTGGCAGGAACCTAGTAAAATGAAAGGAAGAACTTCCTTAAAATGATACTTATGGGGGGCAGTGTTTCATGGGGGGGGGGGAGGGGCATTGTTTCAACTGACTTTACAGAATACAAAAGATCCATTGAAAACCTAATTATTAATTATATGCCAAACACTATGTTTAAAGTTTTCCATTGTTGGATATTTATCTTTAAATCCAAGAAAACTTACCCAAGAGGATGTGATTTTTTTTTAACCAATGAATGTAATTTTTCTCAAGTTTAAAGCCATGTTTCATAAGTTTTAAAAGAAAAAATCAGAAGGGGGGGGGGGGGTAAATTTTTGACTTAATTCAAAGTATCTGTGGTTTGCAGTTGCCCATGAATTTCATAAATAATTATACAAAGTAACAAGTGGAAATGAGTTTAAAATATTATGAATGTCCTGCTTGTTTTAGTTTCATTTCAGAATTTTTCAAGTTTGACCAAATCTTGAAAAAGTAAAAGCCACAAGGTTTTGCAATTATTTGACATAGCATTACAAAATGCATTATATTTTTGCAACATCATAAAGATGCAAATTTAAGATGCCAAAAAATTTAGTTCACATTCACATTTAACTCATTACACAGGTTTTATAAAAGAGTAAATAAGTGTAGTTTTGGGAATATTGTTACGTTAAATGCAGCCATTTTGGTTAAAAATCTGGTATTCCTGTCTCCATGGTAACAAATCTTGCATTCCTGTTTCCATAGTAATAGAGAATGGATAGGGAAAATTTTATTTCATATTAGTTTCAATCTAAGGGGATAGTTTCAGGAAACTTGAAACATGCCCTGGTTAGTCTACATGTACTTCAAAATTGTCAATTTTACGGAAAGGGGGGGGGGGCATTTTGTGCAGGTGTTCACAGTTCTCCTATCCAAGAACAGAATTACATGTATTAATGCTCTTGGAAATGGGATGTGAATATTTTTACATGACACTTCTCCTAGATATGGACTAATTTTACTGTAAATGACATCAAAACAGGTAGAAAGGTACATTTCTTTTCTATATGAACTTAATGAAATGTGCATATGTTCCTTGAAATACGGAAATTTTGCAGATTTGGGGTAATTTTTCATCAGCTTTTTAAAAAAAATGTTTAAGTGTCCCATAAATATTTTAATGTGTTTAAACTAACTTATGTACCATCTATACAATGCACTGTTTCCTGAATTTCAAATCAGTGTGCAAAGTATTAAAAAATCGCTTTGAAAAAGGGTCTAAAATGGTAATTTTCTCAATTTGGCAAAATGCCAAAATCCCCAAAGCTAAGCCTTGTTAAGCCATTATGTAGAATTACAGTTTTTAAAAAATTATGTTGTTATACTAGAGAGGAATAAAGGTAGTTTTGAAACAAAAGTAGATTTTCCCATTCTCTTGCTTCTTTTAAGCTCATTTTTATTCAGTAAAACCTACAAAATCACGTTTTTGGTCAAATTTTAGGAAGCATTTACAGGGGAAACAATAGGTGCCGTTACCATGGCAACGAGACATTTTTTGAAATAAAAAAATATAAAACCATTAATGATGTGACAATGTGAGTACACACAAAAAGTTTCATAGAAATTGAAAATGTAGCGTGGCCAAGCATTATTGATATTGTTTGACAATTACAGAGAATTGATATTAAAAGACAGATGATATGAATCTGTATTTATGGATTTCTGACGTGGCGGTGCTCTGTTTGACACAAATGAAACGCAAGGTTTGAATCTAAATTGTCATTATTAACAAATAAATGATGAAGTAACTGAAATATTTCAACCCATAGTATTATTGACAAAACATGTACCAAACATAATTGAACACATTAGGTAACAGAAAAAAAACACATATAGCAAGAACCATTGTTATTTTCTTATTATAAGTACAATGTACAGTCTTATAATTTCTAAAGGTGGGGTATGCATCATTAATTCAGAGTAGATGAGTTCGAATTCCTTTTCTTTACCTTAAATAAATATATATAATGATTGATGTGTGTTTTTAAAATTGAGGTACAACCGTATCGGGAACATTTTTATATAGAAAAAAACATTAATATACACTTATCACCTGCATACGGGGGTTCATATCTGTCAATTGATTCGATACGCAGGAGGATGACCTTTAAATTGTACCATGAATTTCTAAAAGGTGGAATGTTACTGATAAAAAATATTGATGAAACAAGAATATCAACAGTTTTATTAAAAGTCATTTTTTCAGAAGTTCTATGGTCGAGACAATAACCCTGTCAGCAAATTCACTTTATTATTATTTCAAATGCTGACTGACGTTTTCATACATGTACTAATTGTTTGACAGTTATTTACACAATGAAATGACATTACGTTATTTCCTGATCATGACAAGGAGCACACAGAAAGAATGACCGGTTGGCAGGGGATGCGTTCTCCTCCAAGGCACCTGATCCCACCTCTTCTTATCTGAAGGTCCGTTTTTTGCTCTGCTCCAATTTTGTATTGTTTACAATACCAACAGTTTTGTCCTTTTGTCCTTGACATAGGAGCATTGCTTGCACTTGAAAAGCTTTAAACCCCGTTATTAGTTGCAATACGCAGGCATCAATGTTTCACAAACATTTACTTTGCTAGGTGGCAATTAAGGTACATGTACATGTTCATTTAGCGCTGAAAGTAAACAAATATGGGACAACACTAAGTAAGGAAATAAAAAATCTAAACATCAACTTTAGGAATTTGTAGGGGGGAGGGGGTTCTTTTGAAAGTATTCTCCCTATTAACTGATGTATTTTCAACATAAAATGCGTGCCCAAACTTATTAAGAAATCACAAATATGAAATATTCAAATCAAATCAATCTTTGCCACATACATTTTTTTTGCACGTAACTACGTATTAGTTTTCCGCGCTTGCGCAGATCGTTATCAATGCTAGTCTTATTCAACTTTCTAGGTATTTCAGTGATTTAAAGCAAATATCATCGGTAAGTATTTTTCTTCCACAATAAACATTATATTATCTATTTGGCTAATGGCATAGTGTAATTTCTTTATAATAAAAGAGTTCCAATATTAGAAACTTTTTACAAAATTTAATATTATTTCTGTTGTGCTCGATAGAAAGTGATTAAATATCTTATAACATGTTAAAGGTTTCTTTATTTTCTAATGATAATGCATAAAAAGCATGCATGTACAAGAATAAAGGTTTACCGTTGCTCTCTGTTTTTCGTTTTTGTGGAATCCCACTTCAACCAAGCTATCAGAATTAAAATCTAAATGTTTGCAATTGGGTTATGAATTTTTGACATTGACCTTTGAATATAAACACACACATACCCCCTTTTCAAATCGAGGCTGAGTGTACAGTCTCAGCAGCATGACGCGTGTAGAGCGTTGTTGTGTTACATTATACAATGGAGACTGTAAACAAAATTTTACCCGTTTTTTTCATCGAGTTACATAAATTTACTTAACATCCCTTACATACACAAACAGACTGCTACCTTTAACACGTTTTTTTCTATAATAAAAGCATCAGTATGAAGAAGAAATTTTGGACAAATATTTCATTGTGAAAATTATAAATGAAAGCACTGGTCGAAGGAGAAGATTATTTCAAAACTGTAATTATAATCGATATTAAATTTTGAGGTTTATTTTTAAAAATATATATATTAAATCGCGTAACAAAAATTTCATCTTTAACCATTCAAAAACATCTTGTGATAGTGCTCTTCTTATAAAAAGAGTAGTTCAGCATGGAGAAATTCTTATCATGGCCACGTAAAGCGAGATAATGATGTGGATTGTGTACTTCAAATGTCAGCTGTAACGTTTCAATGTCTAAAGAGGTTGTGGTGAAAAAAATAATACATGTACAAAAAATGTAAATATGTTAAAAAGCAAATAAGTTATGTACACAAACATAATGCAACTTTAAAAGCTGAACTAAAAATCCATCTTGATTAAACTGAGCTCGAGGTACTAATAGAGGAATTCACAGTTTTTTTTCTATTTTTGGTATAATTATAACTTTGTTGATCGTGCAAAATTTAAATACTTTACTGTTCACATTATATTGGAAATTGTTTTAATTGTGATGCTTATTTCAGGCAATAAGAAATTAAATGATGTTTTAAGGAAAGATACTGATGAAGATGGAATGGAGATAAAATAATAAAAGTTTTGTAACGATGCTTTGTGTTTTGAATTTTGTAGATTTTTAAGTGTTGTAGAGCCATTCAGCCAATTGCAACATTTTTAATAATTAACCATAATATTTTTTGAAAAAAGCAAATTTTTAGCATTTTGAAAGGTTAGTCTCAGACTCTGGTAGTCTATGTTTATTTCAGAGGCCAGAGGAGCTTTTGAAATATAGAGTAAGGTTTCTGTCGTTCGTCCGTACTGCTGTCCAGCCGTCTGCCTGTCCATCTGTGAACATTTTTAGCTTACCTGAGCCGAAGGCTCAAGTGAGCTTTTCTGATCACATTTTGTCCGTTGTACGTCTGTCTGTCTGTCTGTCTAGTTGTCTGTCCGTCCGTCTGTCTGTCTGTCCGTCTCTAAACTTTTCACATTTTCGACTTCTTCTCAAGAACCACTGGGCCAATTTTGAACAAACTTGGTACAAATTATCCTTGGGTAAAGGGGAATTTAAAATGTTAAAATAAAGGGCCAAGTTTCCTCACAAGGGAAATAATCAAGAAAAGACAAAAATAGGGTGGGGTCATTAAAAAATCTTCTTCTCAAGAACCACTGGGCCAGAAAAGCTGAAACTTATATGGAAGCATCCTGGGGTAGTGTAGATTCTAAATTGTTCAAATCATGACCCTGGGGGGAAGGGCGGGGCCACAATGGGGAATCAAAATTTTACATAGAAATATACAGTAAAATTTGTCTAATCCGGACTCTGAGTACTCCGGACATTTGTCCATTCCGTCCGTAAATTTTAGTCCCATGCACTTCTTTAACAAATTCATTTTAAAAAAAATCTGTGTAGTCCGGATACTGTCTATTCTGTATTCCGAACGGCCATACTGGTCCCTACTGCTCATAATTAACGGTAATTATTCCCTCTAATCCGGCCACACCTGAGTTACTTCAAAGCAATTAACACCTTTCGTGGGGAATGTGATAATCTGTGTTTACATTAGCATGATTATTAGTGCCATGAGACGAACTCGGTGAAATGCGGCGGTGACACAGTCCACTTGAAAAATATATTATATGATTAAATTACAATTTTAAAAAAATTAACTTTGTTTTAACTCCTTTTACCACATAATAACATAAACACAAAAATATATGTACGCGATTTACAAATCAAAATATAAATCGGGATCGAAAATCGAACGCATTCAAAATGGCGCCATGACACGTACTGTGGGGGAAGACGTAAATTTTTACATAAAATTAAAAGTTCAATATAAGAATTAGCAAATCGTAAATAATTGTGCATTACTGTCAATACATTGAATAAGGTCTTTGACATGCGAAACCCGGTCCGCTTGATACTTAGTAGGCCTATATTATGCGTGCCTGTATATTTTGATTGAGGAAACATTTCACCCGTCTTTCAAACTTCGTGAACAAATAAGAAAATATAGTCAGTCATGTGAGACTATTTTATAATTTCTAGACTCCAAAATAGTAATTGATTTCATCATTTGATTTTATTTATGATATGTATATGAATTTGTACTTGTAAATAAACAACGAAAATTTTCGAAATTGATATTTTCCTGCATTTTTCCTGCACTCCGGATTCTGTCTAATCCGGCCAAATTTTATGGAACCGATGGTAGCCGGATTGAACAAATTATACTGTATAGGAAAAATCTTTGAAAATCTTCTTCTCAAGAACCACTGGGCCAGAAAAGCTGAAACTTATGTGGAAGCATCCTGGGGTTGTGTAAATTCTAAATTGTTCAAATCATGACCCTCGGGGGAAGGGCGGGGCCACAATGGGGAATCAAAGTTTTACATATAAATATATAGGAAAAATCTTTGAAAATCTTCTTCTCAAGAACCACTGATCCAGAAAAGCTGAAACTTATGTGGAAGCATCCTGGGGTAGTGTAGATTTTGAATTGTTCAAATCATGACCCCCTGGGGAAGGGCGGGGCCACAATAGGGAATCAAAGTTTTACATAGAAATATATAGGAAAAATCTTTGAAAATTTTCTACTCAAGAACCACTGATCCAGAAAAGCTGAAACTTATGTGGAAGCATTCTGGGGAAGTGTAGATTCTAAATTGTTCAAATCATGACCCCTGGGGGAAGGGCGGGGTCACAATGGGGAATCAAAGTTTTACATAGAAATATATAAGAAAAATCTTTGAAAATCTTCTCAAGAACCACTGGGCCAGAAAAGCTAAAACTTATGTGGAAGCATTTTGGGGAAGTGTAGATTGTAAATTGATCAAATCATGACCCCCGGGGGAAGGATGGGGCCACAATGGGGAATCAAAGTTTTACATAGAAATGAATAAGAAAAATCTTTGAAAATCTTCTTCTCAAGAATCACTGGGCCAGAAAAGCTGAAACTTATGTGCACATGGAAGGATCATGGGGTAGTGTAGATTTCTAAATGTCTAAATTATGATCAGTTGGGTAGGGTGGGGATGCATTATGTATTACAAGGAAGAAATCTGGTAAAGATCAGAATGGTCAATGCTTCTCAGGTGAGCGATGTGGCCCATTGGCCTCTTGTTAAACGCTATAATCTTCCCACGGTTGCTCTTTTCATTCTATGCACAACTGAGACAATATCGCGAAATTAACTATATTTTGTTAATATTAAAGACTGAGTTTGAAGGACAAATTGCTATATTTGTGTCTCGCTAACATCTTGAATCTAGTTTTTTTCATGTGAAGGATGTACTTTAAAATAATTTTTTTCCTTGAAGGTATGCAATTTATCCCACAGCAGCGAAGACTTGCATTTGTCTTTCTTTGCTTACTGCAAATTAACTTGATATATTTACTCGAAGAGGAGAACCCTATGTCGGTAAGCAGATATATATTCTATTATCCAGGAAACATTAAAGGAATTCGAAGTTCAGATTTTCTCAAAATAATGTATAAATGTAGAATCTGTGTCCATAAGGATTACTATTACCGATCAACTTGTGTTTAAATCAAGATTTACTGTTTGGAAATGATGACAAGGGATCGAAAAAGGAATCTTAAAACTTATCTCAAATAGAAACTTAACTTTCCTACAGTTTCTTCTATAAACTTTTGGACATATCGCAAGAGTTCTCGTACCTATCAATTTTACCGAAATTTTCAGTAAAATTGATAGGTACGCAAACTTCTGTGGTAAAATTGATAGGTACGCGAACTCCTGTGGACAGAGATGTTTATATACCATATCCAAGTATCCTATCAACTATGTTATCCCCTACGGGATGGGGATGCAAAATAGAATAAACCGTTATTGCTTGCTTATTAATAAACCAAATGATTCATTTCTCATTGCCTAATTTTGAGAACCTTTTTTTAATTTACGCAAATAAAAATGATTACTATTGTCCGACTGTGTCTTTTTCGTTACGATGTGACAAAGGTACATTGTATACATAATTATTATATCAATGAAGATTGTTTTTCGTAGGAACCATGTTCTTCCGGTAAACAACAAAGACCCTCAGAGAAATTCAAACAGGAAGATCAGTCTATTACGTCCAATGACAATTGTTTGAACGGGCAATGCGGTGAAAATACTTCGTCAAAAGGTAACTTAGGCTTAAATGTTAAAAGGGTGACTGCATTGGCGACTTGCGAAATATACATTTATAGTTTTTTATACATTGTGGAACAATTTTAGTGAATCTAAAAATATATGTGAATGTATTATACTTTTTTTTTTTAACTATGATAACGAATATAGCTTTTTGGTTTCAAATTCGATCGCGTAAAAAGCGAATATAAGTGCGTCATCGGATAAACTCTGCAACACTGTAAAAATTTCAAATATTGGAGAACTCTGAGTCATCCTTTCAAGAAAATAAATTTGATTCGGTTTATTGAAAAGAACATTTTTATGATCTTGGTATACCTATAGCTTTGAAGTTTATTTTATCTTATGATTTTTTAAAACAAAATATTGTACCTTGTTTTTTTTTTGTTGTTGTATCAGATTTGGTTCCTCGTGTAAAGAGGCGGGTCTCCACTACTGGTGAAAGGATAGGCGCTGTCGTGTTAAGTGTGTTGACGTTGGGAATTTATTGTATAATTATGTGTGAGAAAGGTAATATATTTCATCTCCGATAGAGAATGCATGATCTAAATGACCAGAAAATGGCGATAACCGCTTTATCTGTAGTACATCTCTGATATATTTATATTCAGCTTTGACTCGTTTTGTAAAGAGAATAACCATTTCAATAAAAACATTTATTCAAATATTTTTGGTATTTTAAGCCTTGTCCGTACACACTATCGCGACATTTAATGAGCGAGATTTTTTACAAATTTTCTTACTTTGACTTTCATAACTATTATTTTGGTATACATGAAATATACTAGCATCTTGATCCATTCATTTTCACAAAACGCTATTGTCCACTAACTTTTTGGACAACTCTCAGTCATAATTAAGAAAACACAAATCATCACGGATGAAACTTGTAACTTTTTTGCAAAATAGTTTGAGAATTCAGGTAGATTGCTCAGTCTTTGTGTACATGAGGATGGTCCTGTCATTATATGACGGAGTCCGAGGGTTTTGAATAATTTTCGTATGTCTGTCTGTCTAGCTGTCTGTCTGTCTGTAAACAATTTTTCAAAATGCTACTCCTCCTGCAGTTTTGGTCTGATTTCAATATTACTTGGCACACACTAAGATCAATAATTCTGTGTATCGGTTTTTGATTTCGATGAACGGTGTTGCCGTGGTTACGAAAAATAGAAATTTCTATGAAATACATTCAAAGTGCTACTCATACGACAGTTTTGGTCTGATTTCAATATAACTATGCACACAAGTAGACTACACTAAGATACACAATACTGTATATCGGTTGTTGATTTCGATGAACAGTGTTGCTGAAATTTCTGTGAAATACATTTAAAATGCTAGTCCTCTTACAGTTTAAGTCTGATTTCAGTATTACTATGCACTCAAGTAGACTACACTGAGATACATAATTTTATTCATCGGTTTTTTATTTCGATGAACGGTGTTGGCATGGTTACTAAAAATTGAAATTTCTTTGAAATACATTCAAAATGCTACTTCTCCTACAGTTTTGGTCTCATTTCAGTATAACTTGGCACACAAGTAGACTACACTAAGATACATTATAATTCTTTTTATTGGTTTTTTATTAAGATGAATGATGCTGCCATGGTTACTAAAAATAGAAATTTCTGTGAAATACTTTCAAAATGCTACTCCTTCTACAGTTTTGGTCTGATTTCAGTATAACTTGGCACACAAGTAGACTACATACCAAGGTACATAATTCTGTGTATCGGATTTTGATGAACGGTGTTGCCATGGTTACTAAAATTTAAAAAATACTGGTTTATTAAAAGCTACTCCTACAGCTGTAGTCTTCTTGCAATATCTTGACACAAAAAGACCTCAATCAAGCATCATTATTCTATTCATTGCTTTTGTAAAGTTTCAAATCCCAACTGCTACTTTTCTCTTCATTTGTTAAGTACAAACCAGTAGAGCTTCAGTCTTGACAGAGACTTCCGGTTTAAAATATAAAAATGATCATCTTGAAGATGACATATTACCATTTCCTTGTAATAGTGTCTGTCCATAATAACTATGGTACCTCCTTTTTCCGCTTCTTTAATAATGATGGTCGGGTCTTCGCTCAATTCTTTTTTTTTTAAATTCTGTTCTTTTCTTGGAATGTTTGATTTCAAATTAGTTTCAAAATTAAGGATACATACCACAAAAAATTTTCTTATCTTCTGCATAAAAGAGCTACACTACATTTTTTCCAGAATTTGCAGTGTTTTGTTCTAATTTTAAAAAACCGGAAACTGTAGTTATTGTAAAAATGTACCACGTGCACATAAAGAAATCCAGGAACCTTACTGGCAAGTCCAAATATAAGCGTTTAAAAAAGGGGTTTGAAGGGGGAAAAAAGAAGCAGCAAGGTATCAATATAATCAAAGTTGACGAAAATAATATTTGATCGGACAGTGTTCACGTAGACATTAGAGGAGACAACTCTTTCCTGACCTGGTTCAATAAATGTCATTTTATGTGTAAATGTTTTTTTCTCGTTTTATTATTGTCGAAAGGGTCATGTAAGTAATTCCTTGTTTTTCTCAAAAGTAATACCACTGTAAAGACTCCATAAAAAATATTAACATATTTTAGGATTGTTTGTAGACTTTTTTCATCAATTTTTATCATTTTTGGATATTGATTACATTTGAAAGAAAATAGGGGAAAATCTTTGTCTTCCATAATATATTTGACCCAGGATAATGATCTGCATACCTTTTTAAATAAAAGTTGCATATAAAGATGGCAGAAAATACATTAGCTTAGAAACATTTTAAGAAAATATTGAACTAGAAAAATACATTTTCCTAGTTTCCCCCAAATTTTGGTGAATTGTTTAATCATAAAATTGTTAGGTGATCGAATATTTCTTCTTTAGTGAGAAGGGCTTCAGAATACATCAAGATAATTCACTTTCTGGGGTAAAAGTTTGTTTATGTTATTATCCTTAATATGCGCTGAATTTGTAAGACAGAGCATATAATATTCAAGATGTTCATTTCTGCTTGGTGGCGGTTTAAATTCTCTTTAGCTCACGTGATCCGAAGGCTCAAGTGAGTTTTGTTTTTCTGATCGAAATTTATACGTTGCCTGACTACCCCTCATCGTCGTTGTTGTTGGCGTTGTAAAGTTTTCTCATTTTCATCTTCTCAAGAACCACTAGGCCACTTCGAACAAACTTGTAACAGAGTATTCTTGGATAAAGGAATTCAAGTTTGTTCATATGAAAGGTCATGTCGACCTCCAAGGGGAGAAAATTACGATATAAGAAAATATTAACGACATCATTGAAAAAAAAACCTTCTCAAGAACCAATGAAGCAGGACAGATGAATCTCATGCAGAGTCATGGTCAGGTGTTGTGAAAACTCAAAATTTGTTCAAATCATTACCCCCGAGGGTAGGATGCATATTGGGCCACAATGTTTAACGATCAAAGTTTAACATAGACATAATATAGGGCCCGCCATGGTTAAATTTATGAGCGCCATGGTTAAACGAGCTGCGCCATGGTTAAAATCGGCAGTCGCCTTGATTAAATTGCATGCCTCGAGAGAAAGCCGGGTCATGCTAAAACAAACACTCTCATTAATCGGCGACTAATATATGTTGTGAAGCGTGACGATACAGAGTCAATCAGCTGATGGTCGATATTTTGAGAGTAAATTATCCTGTACATAAAATTATGTTTTAAATAATTTTGGGGACTTCAACATGTTCACTACATGATTAATAGGTAACGAGTTTATAAAAGATGACGAGTACATGCATGATAATCGTCAAGCATCCGATTTGATCAAGTTTCTGTGCCAGAAAAAAAATACTTTTTCAAAATTTTATATCCCTCTGTATTTAATCAATTTCCCATGCTCTGTTTTGAAAGTTTTAACTATATTATCTTTCTGATAAAATGTACTTAAGTGTCAATCGCCGTCTTAGTTTTTTTTAGAGTTATTTCCCGTTTTTATGAAACGTCGCGTGGCCATGCCAAGAAAACCTTTAGCAGTCTGTCCGGAGAGCGAACTCAATAAAAGTCGAATTAACGTTTATCTGTGAAACTCCCCCGAGAGATGTTGGCGAGACAATTAATGTCAGCAGTTTTGAGGAAGGGATCTTAAGTTTTACTGGGTTTAAAACATAGGTACAAAACTAATTACTTAGACGCCTTTGCACCCCTTCTTTTTTGGGGGGGGAGTGGGTCATATTTATCAAATATTGTAGAAAAAAAAGTAAGTTAAAGAAAAAGAAAGTTAAAAATTATTAATTATAGTAAACTAATTTCCTTAGTAGAAATAAGCTGTCTTTCAATTTTTTACGTATTTCCATATAGTTTTTTTCTTCCTGAGCATAAATTAACGTCGGGTACGATGAACTTGGTAGTTGTGGAAGTACCGCGCGTCGAATTATGGGGAAAAGGGTACCAGATTCCCGGAAGTTGACATCATTTCCTGGTTAAACAAGAGGGGAGAGGAGTACTAAATGGGTAGAGGTATCACACCGGTAATTGATCAATCAAAATGAACCTATTCAAATGTAGGTCCTTACATATAACATTGATTTTCTTTTCTTTTGAGACGTTTTTCTATTCTTTTCCAAGCCATTTTTACAACTTTGGTACCTGTGCCTAGTAAATTTTATGTACCTTTTGAACAAATAAAGGTTTTTGACAGGAACTATTTTTTCCCGGGAATAGGAGGCTACTTCCTGCGGTACACTCGGAATGTTTATAAACACATTGAAAACACGTGGATTTGAGGGTAGCCCTGTTTGCAGATGGAAAAAGTCAGAAAATGCCGTGTAGGTACCGTTTTGTGTGTGAGAGTGTGTCAGATAGTGTGACAGGTAATGTTTAACACCTCCTGCTAGATATTTTTTCAAGTAAACAAATACCAGATTTTTTTTTTTACGACTTTTTATTCTATATGGAATTTCATAGTGAAAACAAGTACAGGTGTGACGCAACCTGATTGGCTATGTTAATATTTTCATTTTAATATAAAAATATCACTGATAGAAATAAACGGTAGAATATATCAAGTTTATTTTTCTTTAACTAAGAAAGCTGAAAACTTATGATCCCCCCCACCCCCCTAAAATCGAAATCTGCTGCCGTAAATTGTCTTGCTAGCGTTTGGGGAATATGGGTGATTTGCATCAATTACACTTTTATTGACTTCATCAGTGCGTAAACCGGACGAGATTTCTTGGCATGGCTAATTTTAGCACTGGGACACGTGGAGAAGTAAACATAGGAATACACTCGGTGAAAAATGTAATATCTAGAAAAATAGAACATTTAAAGAAAAAGAGACACTGGTCCAAATGTTCGTTTGTGTGTTAACTTAAAATGAAATACTATCCATTCAACAGATTAAGTCATATTTAAACAAAACGTTTCATACAACAGGCTACAACTCTTTTCATTCTGAATAAAATTGCCATGGTTATACTGTCTCAGAATTTTTTCTTTAAATTCCTTCAAAAGGTAACCACAGT